GCTGGCATACTTCTGCTGATTGATTTCTGGCCTTGTTTATCTTGGTTTGTGTGAGTATGGATATGACTTTTTATTATTATTTGGGGTCTCATTCGAGGTGGAGATGGATAGACTCAATGGGACGGATGTTGAGAGCTGATGAGTGCCAGCCGCAAGGCAAAAACCTTTTTTATCAAAAACCATAGCTTAGTACGAATTAGACTACTACTACTGAGGAGTTACCGGATATGGGTGTCTGCGAGAGTATGGATTTTTCCTTTTCACGTGAGGTGTGAATCCAAGAAGGAGGTCAGAACATGGGTTCTCTCAATAGGTGTTAGAGAGCCTTTTTCCCAGCACTGATGTATGCTACAGATATTGCTTTCCCTTCAACAACAGAGTCCACGAGGTTCTTCTTCGCCCTTGAGCCCAGTATTCCCCCAGCCACCACTACCGATAAGGATGCCAGTCGGGTCGGGAGCTGAACTTTTTGAATGACTGTTTGAATCATAATCCCAGCAGCACGACTAGTACTCGGGGAAATGCAAGAGGATTCTCTCCTTGGGCGCAGCTCAGGTACCCATTGCCTGACAATCCGATGCTTCACTCAAGTCACATCAGCCCCTCCACGAACACAACAGGGATACCATTTTCCCACCACAGATCAACGAAGGCAATCGGGACAAGTTCCGTATTGGGGACATTTGGGAATGGATGGCTTTAGCACAGCTGGCTATTTCTTCACCAGAACATTTTGTTCATTTTCATGGACCAGAAGCACATAGTACATAATTGAGAGAACGATGAATGGATTAATTTGGAACCAATCTTTCGAATACTACTACTTGAGTACGTGCAGCTTATTCTCGGATATAGTTGTTCGGTAAACAAGCCGAGCCTAAAAGGCGGTCGGTCGATGACGTTGGATTTGCACAGGTACAGAACAATACTCCGTACAGTACAGTGCAAACAGGGACAACAAAACTGCATCATCTCCGCCGTCCGCCCCCCACATTCAAACCACTGCCTGCCCTCCCGACTCCGACTCGTCCACCCCAACCGATCATCCTGCTGGTCAGGTTCGACCCTATACGTCTGTCGCCTCGCTGTACTGCTACCCCACCTTATATCGCATACCCAACGCCCGCAGTTAGTGGCTGCTGGGTGCTTGTACTCGTCCCAGAGAACCGGCAAAAGGACCTCACGCGCTCTCTCGTATATTTTGTATCTGACGCAAAGCCGACTTCACACGTCCCACCCAATCACGAATACGGCCACTCGATAGTGAACAACCCCGGCGCCTGAAGAGCGCATTCCATCGCAAGACTTGCCCCCGCCGAGGCAGCGATACACAACTCCTTCATCGTGAACAGTTTCTCGACAACATCCTCCGAAGAAGCAAGAGCTACTGGTTGCAACATGTTCCACCCCAACATCCACGGCGTGCCTTCAGGTCACAGCCACGGCCACGACCACGACGACCCCATCATCCTCGACGACAACGACCAAGAGGATCAGCCGTACAACTCCGACACCTCCAGCTCCACCTCCGACTCCATCGGCAGCCGTCCGCACCGCCTGCCGGCGCATGTATTAGCGCAGCAGCAGCTATCCCAGCTACAACGGACGCAGAACAGTACGTCTCTCGTCCCTTTCTGTTTTTTGGTATTGACACACACCTACTAAACGACCCGAATCAAAATAGGACCAACAATAAACCCCCTGCACCAATTCCCCACCACAAACGGCACCACACTAGGCGACTCGACCACAACCGCAATCACAGAAACCACCACCACCACCACCAACCCTTCCAATCCAACCACAACCCCCTCAAACAACCAACCCACAACCACAACCACAACCAACACACACTACCAAACCTCCCTCGAACAAGACAAAAAGCTCCGCAGCCGCATCCGCGAAGAGCGCCACGCCGCCCTCTGCGTCCTCCTGGACCGCGAACTCCTCACCGTCCAGGCCCTCGCCGCCCAAGAGGTAGTCCCCCTCCCCCTCCCCCTCCCCCTCCCCACATCCCATATTGAACCCCTACCGTTTCCTGGCTGAGGCTGACCAACTACCTACAAGTCCATCCCCCAAACCCGCCGCCGCTTCCTCGCCAAACTCCTCAGCCCTGAGGACCCTGAAACCGCCGCCAGCCTGCAAGGCGATCGCTTCGTGATCCAGCATCCGATGCGGTTGGGATCGGGATCCGCATCGAGATCCGGGACCGCGTCGCCAGCGACTACTACTGCTACTGCTGCTGCGGCGGCGGCGGCGGCATCGCCTGCCACTCCGTCCGGGGCAGACTACGAGGAAGACGACAGGCGGTTCCGGATCGGGGTCGGGATCGGCGGGCCCATCACGACGACGGGGTTGATTGTTCCGCGGCAGGTCGAGGAGGTGTATGAGACGGACGAGGCCGGGTGGAGGCGGCCGCCGCCGGGGGGAGCGGAGCGGTTTGGCGGTGGTGGGAGTGGAACGAATCGTGGGTCCCCTGCGGCGGCCGGGGCGGGGTCCTCCGCGGTGTCGTCGCCGTCCGGGAGGACGAAAGGGGGTACAGGGACGACGAGTGACAGTAGTAGTGTGGCGGCTACGGCGGGGTCGACGCCCGAGAGGCAGCGGAGGGGCATCAAGGGGCGGTCGCAGCGGGAGAGGGAGCGGGAGAGAGGGCGCGCGCGGAGGGGTTTAGTTGGTGGTGGTGCCGGTGCGGCGGCCTCGATCTTTGGATCTTCCCTTACATGAGATCGTCACTCCCCAGGGATGGGGTTCTCTCCTGCTAAGGTACTGTCAACTGAACACTAGTACTCAGTTATACTAGGACATTGCATGCTATACCATGATCACCACTTCCCCAGGGTCACAGAGCCTGAAGCCCATGACCCAAGACAAGTCTAGAGGAAAAGACGCATGTCGAAAGATCTCCTGATCCGATTCGCCCCAAAGGACAGTACCAGTAAGAAAGTGCCTCATATACATTGGCTGGCCGTTAAAACAAAACCCGTACCCCGTGATTTCCATCAATCCATCAAAAGTACTATACACGCGATGTGAACACAGAATATAAGCAGAATCAAGCCCAGAGCTAAACAAGACAGGCACAAAAAAAAAGGATGGTGGTGGTGGCTGACACCATCATCTAAAGTATACCCACAATCCGGCTAGTTTCCAAACATGGCAAGGGGGGGTATCTAAGTAGATCAAAACCGTTTCTTCTTTTCCCTTGACGGCGTGATAAGTGCAACCCTTCATCTCTGTGAGGAGTGGCATAAGATATCTCAATCTCCAATTGCGATTCTTTTTTTTTTTTTTTGGGTTCCTTTTCGCTTTTCATCTCAATCATTCCTTTGGCTGTGTATGGCCTTTCCAATTCAAAAATGCCAACAGTCCGCTTAGTAGCAGACCGTGAGTCCAAAATCATGGTGTCTGGTTCCCGCGCAGCGCACACGGCTGAATAAAAGGATCCATCGTAAGGAGTTCGTGTGGTAGACAAGAAGTCGCTTATCTGCGCTTTTCAGCGTTCAGCAGACTCGCCGCATCGCCTACTTGCTTTCGCTCGGAGACTTCCCGCGTGCGCATCCGCGCACGGGCACGTTCGATGTTCATAGGCGTCAATCCTTGGGATGGTGATGGTGATGGATCCGGTTCCGAGTAGAGAGGATGCAGTCTGTGGGAAGTAGAGAACCGGACACGACCATCCCTCATGACTGGTAATTGTCATTGCAGGGGTTCCGAGCTCGAGGAGAGTCGATTCAGGTGGAGGTAGACATCCGTCCCGTATCTGCGTGAGAGGTGTCAGTCATCGTGCTTCTTGTATTTCCTGCCAGGAAGGCTCGCTACTCACCCCTCCATGCTGATCAACTTCAGGTCGCCGCCAAAGTACCGAGCATACAAACGACTGATCGGAAGACCGTAGCCAAACCCGGCCATGGGAGCCTTGAAGTCGCTCTTGTCGAAATCCGGGTCCAGACTTGGGGTTTGCTCCACGGTAGTGTACATATACGTCCAAACCAGGGGAATGGCAGACCGAGGAATGCCACCACCTTCGTCGGAAATCTTGATTGTGATATCTTCCTTTCCTTCCGCGATGATGACCTTGGTGACGGGGAAGTTGTCCTTGTCCACACCATTGGCCTCCACCACCGCACGCAAGGAGTTCTTCAGGGTCTCGAAGAGCATGTGCGACAGATGTCCTGGCACATACATAAAGTTCAGGTCCTCTTTGCACACAAGCTGCACCTTGGGGGCGTCGAACAATCCGTAATAATCCTGGCAGACGAAACGGGCGTTTTCGATCGCCTCGAGGGCTATCTCCCGCACATTTGTCTTGGTGCAGATTATTCCGACGTAGTGTGGATGTTTTACGTGAGTCTGTTCAGTCAATGCGATATGCTGCCCAATCAACATTCGTATGCCGATCCTTGACATATAGAAGCGATCGAGGAAGGATTGCACCGTCGAGTCGATCTGCAGGCGCTGGCGCTTCCGTTTCCATTCGAGAATACCCTGGGCCACAGTAGTCACGACGCTGTCGTGTCTTCGCTTGATTTCCTTGAGTGTCTGTGCAAATCGCTCGTTGTAGTCGTTCAGCTCCGGTGGCCAATTTCCTTGATCGTCGGATGGTGCATAATATCTTCGAGCGGCCGCAGCCTTGCCATTTCCATTGCCGTTTGACGTAGAGGACGGGGAGGATCGATACTGTCCTTCGCGAATGCTGGGGTTCTGTGTGACTTCCGAGAGGATCCTCGAGGTCCCGCCGTTAAGCTTTCCCGGGCGCAGCAGGCGGGCCTTGACTTCCTGGGTGAGGGTGGGTCGCGGCAGCGTAATGATTTCCTGCCGGGGACGTCAGCGACAACTCCGGTGGACATAACCCCGGGCGGGCGGTGGGTGAGTCATACCTCGAACGATTGTGCGTACCAATCTTGGACTTTTTTGATCGAGGGCATTTCACTGAGTCCATCGGGAAGCTCTCCAAGATCCTGGACACGATGGGCGAGACGAATGGGTAGTTCTTCTGAGAGGAATTGTGACGCTCGGAACAGAGTGCCTGTATGCGGGTAGCGATCACGAGATTAGCCGATGTCGGTCATCTCCCCAGCGTCATGTGAATGAAGAAGTATCTCAGGATGCGCAAGCATATCAACACATACCAACTGATGGTCTGTCTCCAAATTGAACCATTTGTCGGAGAGAGACGCCGGTAGCTGGGAAGCTGGCATAGTGTCTGATGGTGTCCATCAGTCTCTCCGACGGCTTCCACATGATGTTGAGGGTATCAGGCCGGACGGCCTGGAATTGCGCTGGTCAAAACCAATGTGATGAGAAACAAACTCTCGCAAGTCAACAGCTAGGCAGGAGAAATGGATGTCAGTAAAATCAAAGTTGGGACGAATGCAGAAGGCTGTAAGGAGAACTACCGAGGTTGGGGTAGTCCCCTCCGTCTCGCAGGCGAGCTCCGGAACGGCGGGCGGTAAGAGGCCCCGGAGTGGGATCTCAGGGTGGGAAGGTGACTCGGGATTGACGGACACAAGAACCCAATGGGAAAAAAAACTGAAACTTTTTTTGAAGATATAGATGGTTATAGGTGAGCACACGAGCAGTCTGGGGAAAGGGGGAAGAAGGAAGGAGAAGAAGAAGAAAGATGGAGGGAGGGGAAAAGAGAGAGGAAGAGAGAGTGGGAAAGGAAAGATGCGGGCAGAGGGAAGTAAGTAAGCTCTGGACGCGGACTGGGCTGGACAACCAGCAGCAGCAGCAGCGAATGACTCCTTCGGGGAAAGTTGTTCCAAGTTGCGGAGACTCTCTGCGATTCCCGGGGGAAGACGGTCACGTGCCATGGTGGGGGGAAAAGACCGCTTCCGATCCCGTGATGGGCCGAGGAAGCAGTTTGTACTGTGACTACCGCCGTCCTGACTAAGTTCCTCGCAGGCAATAATCAGCCGATCCGTACAGCAAGTATTGGAGTACTCCGTCCGTACTCTCACTACTCAGTGAGTGAGTGAACGCACTTTACACTTTACACTTTACACTCGACTTGTTCCTATGCGCTGACTACTTCTCATTCTGGTAAGCTGCTCATGATCAGACCATGTCTGTCACTCCAGCTACCAAGCTAGCTGCTATTTATTGACTTTGCTTTCCTCACCACACCACAATCATCCACCGCCAAGACCTGCCACTGAGCACGGAGGAATTACCGGTGCAAATGAGCTGCACGTTACAACGTCCCGGATCTCCCCTTCGCCCGAGGATGGTTCGACGCGGCACGACGCAGATACTCCGACTGGTCAGCCGCCTGACTCTCGGGGTAAGACTTGTGCACTCTGAATTGTCCACCCGAATGTCTCTTCGAAGCACCTCATCCCAATCCGCGTCCCTGGTCACTGGTTCTCCTCCGTCACACTCCGTCGAGGTACCTGATTAGGTTTCTTGCGTCCGGGGTTGTCGTGCTTGCTACCCGCGGTTCTTTAAGGTTCAAGACAAGCTTGTGTACATCTCGTGTCTCCCCGGATTCTAAGTACGAAAATGTCACCACTACCGGCCGGTTTCACATTTACCCCCTTCCCCCCCCCCAGAACCCCCCTTGTCGCCTCCCAACTCACCGCTCAGTGACTCACATACTCCCGATACAAATAGCAACCATCTAGAATCCCGGTCGAACATTTGCCGTGGACTGAAGCATCCCGCTCGATCTGGAACCCCTAAGGAAGGGAACGACGGTTGCTTGACCGTAGTCTCGCGTATCCTCCACAGCTGTAAATCGCTACCGACAAAAAATGTCAATGGTCTGTATATTCTGCACTGGATTCGCTATGCTTAGTGATCAGTGCGATGAGGTCTCACCGATAACTCGTCACGCGAGGACAGACAAATTCGTCCTTCCCTCGGATGGTCGAGATGAAACGGGAAGAAAGAGCAATGAGAAACAAGCGAGAGATTTATTTAAACAACGGCCGCGGCAACGGTGATCACCGTGGACAGCTTTTCCTTTCTACTTAGTGCTCAAAACACCCACTGGGCCCAATCACACTTAGCCTTGGTCTTAATAATGATGATAGGACCAGCATTTGAGGTACTGTAGGTAGGTATACCACGACATCACCGTCTGTCGCATAGGGCTGGAGAGAAAAAGAAAAGAAAAAGGATTGAAGCGATGCCCAACCACACCTCTCATGCTCCATTCAGGCTGGGACTTGTTCATCATATCGTCGTCATGCTCGACGACGCTGGCAGTGATGCCTTAGATCCGTCGAACAAAAGTCCCTGTACCGAGCAGGGCCACGAAAGGGAACCCTGCGATCTCTTGATCCTCGCCCACCACCCCTTAGCATGGGTCTGACAAGGACCGACTCTAGACCTTGTCACTTCCTGAACGACATCATATAACTACAGCTGAACGTCGAGAGAGACCGTGATTCTTCGTCTTTCGTCCCTCTGAAACTTTTTCTTGATAGTGGAGTCTCGTTAGTTCTCGTTAACCTTTTGACACCTGTCTGGCCCACCAACCAGAATACCAATTGTCCGTTGAGAGTATTCCGCCAGATCATTTAAGTGGCTGTCACCGCACCGTGCGGTGGACTGACTGTTCGGTCCCTCGAACAAAAAAAGGAGCAGCGAAAGGCACCCTCTCCTTTAACTTCTTAATCTCTACCTGGCCTCGACATCCGATCTTGTCGCAAAACTTCTCGCGACTGTCTGAAGCACTACTGCTTTAACAGATCTGCCTACCCCCAGAGCACTTCGCTCATCCGGCTGATTGTACTGTTTATACAAGGTAAGTGAGAGGCTCCTTTTGATATGCCGGATCAATTTCTTACTCCGAGGCGCCCGTTTATTTGTGTGTGGGTGGATTGGATTTATTATTATTCACCGTTATTATAAGTTAGCCCGTTTTGTGGACGCGGACGGATCGAGAGACCCATCGACCTGTTCGTTGACTTGCAGAGGATCTTTTCCTAGACTGTTTTCCCTTTCATTTTCCACTTTAGTTGTTCATTTCATATTTTGACGGCCTTGTGGGCGTCTTGTCTTTTTAGACTTGAAAAAAATGGGGTGGGCTATGATGCAAAAGTGCGCCGCACGACATCGAACCCTCTTTTTTTTTCATTGGTATTTTTTTCTAGTATTTTTTTTTATTTTATCTTTTTTCATTTTCTATTGCTCCTCGACTTTAATCTTTAGAATCCGCTTGGACCATCTCCTTTTAACCCGCCATCTCCCTTTAAAAAAGTTGTCTTGATTTCCTAGCTGTTTTCAATTCTGATTGTTATTGTTGTACCTCTATTTTGAAATTGGGTCGTGCACTCACTGATCATCAGCAAAGACCCGATAGGGAGGATCCGCAACTTCTCCAGCATTGCCTTTTCCGCGTCCATGCTACCATTGATGCCGCAATTCAGCCCATAACTGGCTCGGATCCAGTCTATTAGCCCCTCCCATGATTACTACTATCTTTCCTTTTTAAGCCGATTTCTGCCCGGTTCATCCACTGTGCGTGCCTGTGGCTAAGACCTTGGAGGCTTCGTATTGGTTAATTCGCAGGGGCAAAGTGAACACTGGAGAGACCCCCAAAGGAAAAGCAACTCTGCGAGTGTAGAGGGCAAGGAAATTGCACGTGGGACAGTCGAGTGCGTCGACTATCTAGCAGGCAGCCCTCGAGGGACAGAATTACCCAAAGGCCAGGAAGCAAGACAGAACAGAGGTAGAGAACACCAGGCCAGGAGAAAAAGAGTCACGGTGACAGTGAGAGTTACGGAAACAAAAAGCCACAATAAAGGAAGAGGACGAAGAAAGGACAGGCGCCTGACGTCCTGGCCGTTCTGTGCCCCTCTCTGGTCTCAGGTCTCATCAGCATCGCCGTCATTCTGTGCCGCGCCTGGATTCGTCTCCAGTACTTTTACTATCAACCTCACCCCTCCTTCCGGATACCCCTCGGGCTGTTTGGCGGGGCTCATCTCCTTCTACTGCGGGCCTCTCTACTCTGCTCGGTCTCTGTCTTGCCACGCAGACTTTCGTTACCCTAAAGCAAACGGAACCCCCCAGAAAGTTGTTGTCCTTCCCAGCAGATGCATCTTCCCTAAACCCTCCTCTTCTTGTACTACCATCCCTTCCCAGCTGCAAGTGCATGTAAAGAAAAACCCTGTTTCCCCCTCCCCAATATGTCTCGTCGCCGTGCTTCCCATAGCGAACCAATGGGCTTATCATCCGCGATGAACGAGGCGTTTGCCTATCCATTCTCTGCAACGCAACAGAACAATGCTCCACCACGACGGGGTCCGATCGAGGGACCCAACGGACGAAGGTTGATTCGTAGAGTCACCTGGCGATCCTCCACATACAAATTGATGGCTTGTCTGTGGGTGTTGGGCGTCTTCTATATTGTCTGGCTCATCCGAGACATCTTCTATTTGCCTTTCACCCCTTCGCAGAAGGGCCCCATTCGCCATGAATCTCAAACCGAGTAAGTTCGGGCCCTGCCGTCCCTAAACCTTTGCCTCCCGCGAGTCAGTCAGTGGCCAGAGTTACTTATTCAGCCCGCTTTGATACATAGTTTACTGGCTCATTATGTGGGCCGACGTGAGTGCGGCATCTCTTCAGTGTCCCTCTACAACACCCCGTCAACCGGCGATGGACGAGCATCCAACCCAGCGTACTGCTCAACCCGAGATGAACTGCTAAGTGCCATGAGCAATGGTGGTCGTCATGGGTTCGATGCTGCGTACACCTCCCAAGGCAAGTGACAAGATTTACTGTGGCCCCGCTGTCGGGCAACTTGCCGAGAAATCCGCTCAGACAGCAACCAACCCTTCGCGACCCTCCGGCTGACTCGCCGTCCAGATTGTGCCTATCGTTGGTACTCCAGCTCTGAAGTGTGTGAAATCCTGCAGAGATTCGATGGGATTGTCTTTGTGGGGGATGATGCCTTAGCCGACGCCTATGCGGGGTTCAACATCCTTCTGCGGCAGAATCTCGCGACCGGCTCTCTTAGAGACTGGGAAATGGACAAGGACTTGAGCCAGAGATGTCGATGCGAGTCCCAGTTCACCCAAGCAGCGTGTCTACCCCTGCGTATTACCTCGAGTGACCAAGTTGATGCACAAAGCGGTAGCCCCGCCTTGCGGGCCCCATACTCGTGCCCCTCCCGTGAGTGACCCGGTGGTTATATCATGCCAAAGCTCTCTTTAAGGGTTGGAATTGACCTCTAGGTTGAATTAAGGTGCATCTCATGCTTTCCTCTCCACCGATGGTTCCATGGCCTCCAAGAGTGCCCGCGACCACTTCCGCCGCCTGACAGGAAGAGCCGCGGACCGAAGCAAGCCCGTTCCCGTGATCTTGAGCCTCTCGCTTTCGACATCATACTCTCTACCGGCAGCCCAGAAGAGCATGGACGAATGGCTCTCCATGGCCAAGGCGACCAAACAAAAAACCCCTTTCCTTTGGCTCGGTCCCACCGCCCCTGGCCTCCGGAAGGACGCTAGGGACAACATCCACGCTTCCAGCTGGCAGTATTCGCAAGACACTATCAAGGAAGCCCGTGCCCGAGGCATGGATGCTCTAGGATTGTACAATGCGACGCTGCAGGCCGAGAGTTGGGACGGAAAGCACTACGGTGAGCAAGTCGCTCTGGTGCAAGCGATGATGGTACGTTACCCTCTTTTTCCTCTCATTCGCTTCTCGATCTAATATGTACAGATCATCAACTGGCTTTCAACCTTCTAAGAGAAACAACTTTCACTTGAGGCCAACATTCATGGCCCTGATACGACTGGGAGAAACAACTACCTGCAAAGTACTTGACAAGGATGACATTGTATGAACATCAGGACCATATCGTTTGAGCGTGGCATGGTGCGTTTCCTATCATCTCTATTATGCTCGTTTACTGTCTCACCACATTCCCCACTACCTTCCTTGGCTGCTCGATGTACCATTAGGCTCATCTAAACTAACATAAGCCTTCTCTGTAATAGTAAATGAAACAAACATGTCGAACCAAGATCTCCAGCCTACCGACCCTTCTCCCCTTCTCCCCTTCTCCTCTTCTCCGTCTTTCTCCATTCTAGCACATATTACTCAGGGGCCATTGCATCCGCTGCCCTGAAGTTCTCTATCCGCTTATCATACTCGGGACCATCTCGTCTCCTATTTCTTTTATGCAGGGGTAAAAAAGTCTCATGTGCTCATACTCCACCTCGTGTGTACGTATGTTTTTCGGTTCATCTCTTATCTTCTTGCTTTGTTTTTCCCCCTTCATTTTTGTTTGTTATATTGTGTTTCGTGTTTCGTGTCTCGTGTTTCGAGTTTGTTGGCGGATAAGAATTTAGAGATAGATCATGACATTATGACTTGCAAGTAAAAATCACTCACAGCCCGTGCTTCACATACTGTATATGCTCGTCTGTGCTGAAGGCCCAGACTTGGGGCCAGGGGCCTGAGGCCCGCAGGCACCACCGTGGTCGGACTCAGCCGTGGATTCCTCTTTGGGGAAGTCACACAAGGGCCGGGCCCGCGGCTCTTAGACGGGATTGACTCTAGCCTTCCGGACTCATGGCCAGTGCCCAACTCAATTGACCCCCTGCACCGCGGCCTTACTGTCAAAACTCTATCCCACCTTATTTCGTTCTTCTGTCTCCGAGACATACATCTCGGCTCCCGGTCGGTCATCTCAGCAATAGACAAGAATGGGTTGGTCATATTCTCTCCACTAACCCACACGGACTACAATCCCTTCTGAACTCCGTCATAGAGTATGAATCGATTGCAATCATCGATTAAAGTCATATACCGTATATACAAGACCCGTTTGCAATCATACAACAACCAAAAACGCACCCGGGATTCGGTTCTGCTACACCCGGATACTTTTTCTTCCCGAAATCGCGAGATCTCACCTAAACTAATATGGCTATCGCATCTACTTTTCTCCCCCTTCTGTCCCTCTTGAAAAGACTTTTTTGACATTTCTTCGTCTCCCACAGCCCATACGGGACTAATTACCAGGGCTTGAAAGTTTGTGTGTCTATACATACAGAGCGGCCGTCTCGGCCTTGGCGAGGGAGGCCTCGTAGGGCTGGAGGGCCTTCTTGACCTCGGTGGAGGTGAACTTCTCGACCTGCTGCGGGGCGCGGCCGACGAAGGTGCTGGGGTCGAGCAGCTGGTCGAGCTCGTCCAGGATCGGGGCGAAGAAGGCGGTGCGGCGGACGCGGTCGAGGAGGTCGTTGTCCTTGCCGTGCTTCTTGACGTTGTCGGCGGCTTGATGGGAGAGGACGCCTGCATTTGGGGGATTGTGGTTAGAAGGATGGAATAGAGTGGAAATTGATGTGCTTCATAAGACATACGGATTTCCTCGTGGGCGTCCTGGCGGGAAAGACCCTTCTTCACGCAGGCCATGATGATCTAGTGGTGGTTAGTTGTTTTTTTTATTGAAGAGGGGAGTTGTGGTGAAGGAAAGATTGTTTTCTCGGGGTGAGGCTTACGTTCTCACTGTTGGGTTGGTTAGTGGCTGGGACTCATCTTCTAGGGGTGATAATTGGGGGACATACGTGGCCATGAAAGGAAGCTCGTCGTTGACACGGCGCTTGATGACTTCGGGATAAACGACGAAGCCGGAGGTGACGTTGTCTGCGATGATGGGCTGGTCAGCGATTGAATTCTAGTGTTAGAGCTGGCATCGTCGCCACTTACTCAGGAGGATGAGACAAGCGTCAGCGGAGAGGTAGAGCTCGGGAATGCTGATACGGCGGATGGCGCTGTCGTCCTGTTTGCTGATTGTCAGATGGTTTCATGGCTAACAAATAGGCGGAAAGTATCTCACCAGCGAGCGCTCGAACCACTGGGCAGAGTAGGTATCCAAGCCGTCCTTGGGGAGGTTCTGAAGGTGTCTTCCGAGGGAGCACAGACGCTCGGAACGCATGGGGTTACGCTTGTAGGCCTGTGAAGGAACAATCCCATTAGCCTTTATTCCGTAGCTCGTTGTCAGAGAATGCAACTCACCATGGCACTGCTGCCAATCTGGTCCTTCTCGAAGGGCTCCTCGACCTCCTTGAGCATGGCCAAATGGCGGATGTCGATACCAATGCGCTCGCAAGTGGCACCGAAGGAGCCGAGGGCATTGCCCACGTCGACATCGATCTTACGGGAGTAAGTCTGACTGGAGATGATGAAAGCAGAGTCGAAACCGGCCTTCTTAGTGACCAGCTCGTCCAACTGCTCGACCTTGTCGTGGTCGCCGTTGAAGATCTGGAGGAAAGAGGCCTGAGTACCAGTGGTACCCTTCACGCCGCGGAAGCGCAGATCATCGCGGGCTCTCTCGAGGTTGCGCAGATCCATGAGCAGGTCCTGGATCCACAAGCAAGCTCTCTTGCCGACGGTGACCAGCTGAGCGGGCTGGCCGTGGGTGAAACCCAGGCAGGGCAGATCCTTGTACTGCTTGGCGAAGGCAGACAGCTTGTCAATGACAACGGCAAGCTTAGGGATCAAGATATCGAGACCGTCGCGGAGGAAGATCAGATCGGCGTTGTCCGTGCAGTAGCACGAGGTGGCACCCCAGTGGATGATACCCGCGGCAGCGGGGGCGACCTGGCCGTAGGCGTGAACGTGGGCCATGACGTCGTGTCTCCGACGCTTCTCCTCCTCTGCGGCAACCTTGAACTCGTCATCCTGGATGACCAGGTGAGCCTTCATCTGCTCAATCGCCTCATCGGAGATAGCCAAACCGAGTTCTGGGAGAAGGGGCCGTCTGATTAGTCGGCAGCTCGCAGACTGCGATATGGAGATGGAAAGAAAGAGCTGTTGTACAGCGACAAAGGATAATCACCTTTTTCCGACTCAGCAAGCCACAACCACAGCTGTCTCCAGGTAGAGAAGCGGTTTCGGGGAGAGAAGAGATACTTCATCTCATTGCCTGAACACCCGAACAACAATTAGTCCGATATCGCTCCGGCTGGCAGATATCGTCAAGGAGGTGTCAGGAGGAACTTACTCGCATAACGCGAGTTGAGAGGGGTCTGGTAGACATCGTTGCTGGAAGACATCCTGTCCGAAAGGGATTGAAGGGATTTCCACAGGAATTGAAAGGCAGAAATGGAGGAAACAGGGTGAATGGAGTCGAGAAGTGTGCGTAGAGCCAGGAAAATTTACAGCGGGCTGGATGACTCTTAGCGGGGTCTCCGCTTATCAGTCACGTTATCATCTGGAGGGGCTAATCATCACATGACGGACGGTCCCGACGTGGGGGAAAAGCGCACGACCCCTTTTCGACTTTCGATTTTCCGATCTTTCCTAATGCGTCCACTGCGACTGGTGAACTTCAAGTATTACTGCCTACGGAGAACGGAGTAGTATGCCCTACAGTTGTACAGTAGTAGTCAATGGTGGTTACCAATAATAATATACTATAAAAAATAATCTAGTTAGAATAAAACATTACGAGAAGAAACCTATATCCGCCAATTGGCCCTCGTTTATTCCCACCCAACCACCAAAAGGCAAATGATCAACACGACCAACCTCCTGCATTCGGTACGGCGGACCCCACAGTGCTCGTTGCGGGTTTGGCCAGCATTCATCCCAGCGCCGCCAACTGCGCAGAGAGACTTGCTTTGTCGAATTTGACATACTTGCCTCTGCCCTTGTCGATCTCATGGTAACGATCCCAAAACCGCGCGTAGAGAGGCTCCAGGACTGCCTGCACCTCCCGAGCGAGAACCCCGCGCACCTCACGTTCCATGTAAAGAGCCTTATGACGAGTCACCAGATCTTCGAAACTGGCGTTGAATGCCTTGAATTTGTCTTTGATCGCGTCCTTATCTTTGGACGACAGCGATTTAACAATGGCGCTGGAATCAACCACACCTCCGGACGTTGGCCGACCGGAACCACGGGAGGTGTACTGCACATCGAGAAGGTAGTGAGACGTCTCCTTCCAAGCATCAAGATATGTCGATGTCGCCCGTTTCCGGAAGGAGTCAATCCGTGCAATGCTGTCTCCAGAGCCAAGATATTTGGCTAGCTCTGGGCTCGACCTGATAGAGCGGTCCACAGTGCAAAAGACGTTTGACAGAAACACTCCCTGTACTGCCTTGGAGCGATGAAGTGCTCGACCCCGTGCCTCAAGCGCGATCATTAGGGCTTCGATCATATCAAGAATGAAATGCGACAACAGGGTCGAACTGTCTGGACTGACATCCAAGGGCGTAGTGGCTGCGTTGGCGGTCGAATGCCAGTTTCCATCACCCAAAGAGGTCAGGATCGATGCCAGGGGCCCGGAGTATCCAGTTAATGTGGCCAGAGAGCTCATCACCTCACCCACAAGAGGCACTGATCCGCCATCCGGGGGCAGCATAGATATACCTGCGGCCTTGCGCTTCGTTTCTTCGAGGAGCTCCGAGAGGGATGATTTGGCTGTTTCACGCACAGGCCGCAGCGCCTCGATAAACAAACTCTTAAGTTCTCCTGTCTTTGAATCGACGCGATAAGACATCGCAGTAACGATTTCTATAATCTCGAAAGCCAGAAAACAGTCCGTCATTAGGTTGGATCGGATGTAGTGATTGAGCTCACGAAGTGTCTGCGAGTACTCAGTCAAGGCCGAGCGACACGTCGCTTGCAGAGCCAAACCACGCTCTCCCCCAGTGAATATCCTCACTATCATATCATGTTCCGTGTAGATGAAGCTCTCCAAGGCATTGGAGTAGATGCCGATGCCATTTGTGCCTTGTCGGTAAGGGCCGTCCGCAGCTCTTCGCTTGACGGTATTCAATGACGCTATAGCAAGGTTCTGCAAACTCGCCGTTATATATGGTCCTCGTAAATCGGAGTATATCTTGAGCGCGGGATTCCCGCCATCTCGTTGAGGCCCATAGCTTGCTGCAGAGGCAATAGTGGCGCACACGGGTCCTAGTTCGGTGAGAACGTCGTCGGGAAGTGAGGGGAACGGGAGCTCTACACGTAGTGAATGTCAGCCTTCTTTCATCAATTGGGGATGTCAGATGGCTGCATACCTTTGGTTAAGTAGTGTAATGGCTCGATGGCACCGACATTTTCGCCCAGCCGGCTGCGGAGCAAGTCTTGAAGCTGCGAATTGCCGAGGCTCAGTAAAGAGTTGAAGTCCGTGATTGCTTTCTGGTTGGATCGCAGATTGGTAGAGTTCAAGTCCGCGAGCGCCTTTTCTACACGTCTCACAGCCGAAAGATATTGCGACACTCCGACACTCTGAGGGCTTTAGGGGGTCAGCAAGATTGAAGAAAGTCGGTGGCAGTGGTGTTACTGGAGGATGCATACTCAGAACGGATAATGCCTTCCTCTTGACCCTTGGCATTGAGGGGTTGGCGCAGGCGCTCAATAGCTTCATTGACCTTTTCAATGTTGCTGTTGGTGATCTGGAGGGATTGGGTGTTACTGTAGATAGGGCCGATGGCATGCTTGACCACGTTTCCGCCGGTCTCAAGACGCACCAAGGAGCCTTGGATTTTCTTGGTGAGGAGCTTCAGCTTCTCAAGGTTGGCGTAGAGAACCTCAACCTCTGCACTCTCCTCGGCGTATGCGGCGTTCCTTGGGGCGACCATGGCGAAGGGGGACTCGATCGGCCGGTCCCACCGTCAACATCAGACAATCAGGGATTATTCGTAAATGAAATCGACTATGCAAGAACGGAGAGACGTCATTCCTCGCTCATTCAATGCGATAATGCGATACGGGACAACAAGATACGAGTAATTGAGGGGAAGAAATTAGATGAAATTAGAGTAGTAGGCGACACGTCAGAATTAAGAGCTGACCAACGAGGCACCTGGCCTCATGAAACAAGCATGACAGTTGGTTTAATATAGTTACCTCCAAGCGTTGAGTGAGAGGTTCCGAGTAGGTCTCCTTCTTCGTCTGCCCCGGACGGACACCGGGCGCATTTGCTTGCTTTGCTTGCTTTGCTTTGCTTTGCTGCGTGACTCCGCAATGCGCGCTTGCCTCGTTATGGTAATTTCGGCCCGTCTTGCGTACCGGACTTTGGCTGAAGCCCAACATTGATGCATCACATGATATGATGTAATAGAAATGGCTACATTTCCTCCCACCAGCTCGAATCCGTCGGAATGAAGAACGGAACTTGGAATTTGTTTTAAGTAGTACCTGATCGTCGCGGTCTGGACTCAACTTTCCCCCCCTCCTCCGTTATGGACTTCACCATTGCATGCTGCCCGCCACTGCTCCTCTCATCCTACGGAGTACCCATCTCACCATGGGTGCTGCGAAAGCATCGCGCTTGCATTGGACAATTCCTCCTACCTTTCTAATTGCCCTGGGCGGCGGGGTACTCTACGTCGCCGGTGGTCGATACCTCCCAAATAAGCAACTGCTGCTGCAGGCCGAGCCGAGAGCCCTCTTTTCTACCACTTCTTCCGTCTTCGCGGACAAAGATTCGAAAAAGACCTCACTCAGCGACTACTTGCCAGGGCATGGCTCGAGACAAGACGCGCATCATGACGATGCGGGGTCGGTTTGGACCAACATCTTGGGGAAGTTCGAGGGCGTCAAGCTATCAGTGGGCACCCCGGACTGGATTGAGCTAGAGAACCTCAAAAATTACATTATTCCCGATTGGACCCGTTTGCTACCTGCATCGGTGCAGAAGCTCCAGCGGGAACTATCAATGGCCCCTGGTTCCCTTGCCGACGAGATCTGGAAGGAAGCTCATGATCCGGATATCAACCCTGAGATTCTACGAAAGGCAAGAGTCCGGGTCGGGGATACTCTGTGTGATGAAGAACTGATGTACAGGGAAAGACGACGAAAGTACGCCGTAATAGCCCTTGCGTCCTATCTCAACATCAACGAAGAGGATATTCATCCCGACGATGTCCCTACCATAGCTATGTGTGGCTCGGGGGGAGGTCTACGTGCGCTTGTCGCCGGCACAGGCTCGTATCTCGCGGCCCAAGAAGCCGGGCTCTGGGACTGCGTGACCTACACCGCAGGAGTGAGCGGAAGCTGCTGGCTACAAACATTGTACCATTCGTCTATCACGGGGCGTAACTTCAACAAGCAGGTCGATCACCTGAAAAATAGGCTGGGAATCCACTTAGCGTTTCCTCCGGCAGCACTTAAGCTGCTCACTACCGCACCCACCAACAAATATCTGCTGAGCGGATTGGTCGAGAAGCTCAAGGGCGATCCCGGCGCCGACTTCGGCCTGGTCGACATATACGGCATGCTATTGGCTGCAAGATTGTTAGTACCCAAGGGCGAACTGGGGGTTTGTGATCGAGACCTCAAGCTCTCCAATCAAAGGTACAATCTCACCAATGGAGCGCATCCACTTCCTATCTACACTGCCGTCCGCCATGAGATTCCCACAGTCGAGATCAAGAATGAAGACGGCAAACAGCCCAAGCCTGAGGATGTCATCAAAGAATCGAAAAACGAAGCTTGGTTCCAATGGTTCGAGTTCACGCCGTACGAGTTCTTCTGCGAGGAACTCGGTGCCGGCATACCGACCTGGGCATTGGGAAGACACTTCTACGGTGGAGCCAACGTCAAGCGTGAACAAATATCCCCCATCCCCGAACTCCGCGTGCCGGGTCTCATGGGTATCTGGGGTAGCGCTTTCTGTGCCACTCTATCTCACTATTACAAAGAGATCCGACCCGTGGTGAGGGGCATTACTGGATTCGGCGGCATCGATTCCTTGATTCAGGGCAAGACGAAGGACCTGATCCGGGTCCACCCCATTGACCCAGCCGCGATCCCGAACTACGTCCTAGGAATGAAGGACCTCTTGCCCGCTTCATGTCCGGACTCGATCTTTCAGAGCAAGCATCTCCGTCTCATGGATGCAGGCATGAGCAACAACCTTCCCATCTACCCGTTGCTCCGACCTGGTCGGGACGTGGACGTGATCATTGCCTTCGACGCCTCAGCCGACATCAAGCGCGAGAACTGGCTCTCCGTCGTAGACGGCTACGCTCGCCAACGAGGCATCAAGGGCTGGCCGATCGGAGCCGGCTGGCCGCGCGAAAGCGAAGAACCCAAGATCACCGAGGAGACTCTCCGCGAGCCGCAAAACATCTCCGAGGATGAGATCAACAAGAGGATGAACGCCGCGAAAGACAAGACTTCCCCGCCCTCTTCTTCTCCTTCATCTTCAACGTCCCCATCGGATAACACCCAACGGGGGATGACGCAGGGCGAAGACCCCACCGCCACGAACCCGACGCCCAGCCAAAGCACCGACCTGGACTACTGCAACGTCTGGGTCGGCACGAAACAAGAGATGGTCTCCGATCGCGAGCCCCCGCCGTCGAAACGGCTCTTCCAGCCCCGCCGCCACACGAGCAACGACAAGGAAAACGACCACTCCGATTCCGACTTCCACCTCATGCGACCCGATGCAGGCATCGCCGTCGTCTACTTCCCCCTCCTCCCCAACCCATCCGCCCCGAACCTCCCGTCTTCCTCCGCGCTGAACCCATCCCGCTCCCCGACCCGCCACTCGGAAAGCACCACCTCGAAAAAGGTCTCCGACCCCGCCAAGCCGCTCACTCCGTACCCGGGCTCCATCAACCCGGACGTCGACGACTTCCTCTCCACCTGGAACTTCGTCTACACGCCCGAGCAGATCGACTCCGTCGTCGGCCTGGCCAAGGCCAACTTCGCCCAGGGCGAAGACCAGGTCAAGCGCGTGGTCCGGGCGGTGTACGAGCGCAAGAAATCCGATCGGTTACGGCGCGAGGAGCAGGAGCATCGTCAGCGGCTGGCCGGGTTTGTTCCCATCTAGAGATTTCTTCCCCCCCCAGAGCATCAACCAAATCACTTTCCTTGGTGTATGATGTCGTCAGCATAAATGATAAGGAAAAGATCCCCCCCCTTACAACAGGCGTACAAGCTTGGAGTTTGCGCATCACTCATGGATAACGGGTTGTTTATTGTCACGGTACAGTAGGGTAGGAGCTGCATATACTGCTAAGTACCAAGCACACTTGTTCTTGATTTCTTATCTACCTCGCGATTTATTTCTTGATTCCCTATGCCAGGCAGACTATCTTTTGGATCTGCACGTGTACAGTACATAAGCTGCATTGTAATCTAGCTTAGATATCCTTCTTCCATATCCGTGTCTTTGTTCTTGCTGTGTATGTATACAAGCCAGACGCCGGGGGGAGGGGCGGTTGATTTCACCAAGCTTTCAATATACGAACCGAATTATGGAACACGCAGTGTGTCTCTATGTACAGGAGACAGAATGAACAGAAGAAGCAAAACCAAACACGGGGTATAGGAAGGGTAAAGCACCTTTTTATCCGTATACTTACTTCTAATTTCCCCAGAGAAAACACAGAAAAGCAAAAACAACGCTAGGAAAATGATAACGACCAAGAGCCGGTTCCCAATACATGCGAGTCGTGTTAGCTTCCAAATCACAGGAAAGAAGAAGATGAAGGAATCTACATTTATCTTCACGTCTTCGTCGTCTTCTTCAACTCTCCTTCCCCGGACTCTCTCACCTCATCCTCGCTCCCCGCCAGACTGACATCCTTACTCTCGTCCGTCTGCTTGCGTAATCCAAGATGTTTGCCCCAGTCCTGGATCGACGCTGCAGCTGTGGCCGTCAGCTCCGCGGCGATGGAATGGTCGGACGCCGTTGAGGATTTGTGTCCGTGCTTGTGTTTATGGTGGCCGTGGTCGTTTTTGGAGGAGGAAGAGGAACTCAGGTTCCTCGGAACACCACCACCACCTTCCGCAGGGTCCAGATTCTCCTGTTGATCGGAGTCGGTCGCATGGATGTGCCAGTCCGAGGGCTGGGTTTCGGGGGCTAGCTCCCCGGGTTTGGGCTCGGTGATGGGTTGGCCTTCGTCCGCGCTTGTGGCTCCGTTGGTCGTATGGTCGATGCTACTCCTCTCACCACTACCGTGGTGCTGGGAGGAGGCGTAGCGCCAGACGACTTTGACGCGGTCGAGGGCCTTGACGCCCTTGCGGGTGGTACCCTTGATGCCGTCCAATGCGTCCCACTCGCTTGAAAATAACCCGGAGTCGTGCTCGTGGCCGCCCTCGAAGTAGGCGTTGAACCAGACGTGGGCGATCGAGGTGACCATCGCCCAGCCCGTGTAGGCGGCCTTGCTGCGGCGTTCGAAGTCAATGTTGACGTCCGATGTGGGTATGATGATGGGTTGCCGAGGCCGGAAGATGGCGTTGGAGATGTGCTTGATAGGGTTGTTCTGGGGTTTGGCTGACGTTGAACCAGTTGATGAAGATGCTGTTGTTGTTGTCGGTGTCGCGGAATCGGCCGTGACCGAGGAGGCCGGATTCTCGGGGGTAGAACTGCCTGTCGGGGATGATCTTGATGACTCTTCGGGGCTACCGCCGCTGCTGTTGTTGCTGCTGTTCCCCTTCTGCTGCAGCGGGTGTGCGTTTTCATTCTTGCTTTCGGGAAGGATCACATTCACGTCGTCTACGACCGTGCGCTCGGTTTTATGGAATCGGTGGAATCGCTTGATCCTCTTCCCCTGGTCGGCATAACCCTCCACGGCGACCTTGACCCCATCTCGGAGGCCCCAGACATGTACCTCGAGGATCTCAACCGGTCGTTCAATGTACTTCTTTTCCAGCTGATTCGACCACCGATCCACATACCCCACCCAGCGCAGCTGGCTCGGTATGCTGACACCGGCACCGAACCCGACCCTCATGCGGCGCTCCGTGAACCGCTGCAGTGCGTCCTCGGCCTTCCATCCCTCCTGGCTGATTAGGTAGCTGCAGGCGACGGTCCCACTGCGGCCCTTGCCCGCCTTGCAGTGAACGACGGCAACCCTGTCGGGCTTGTCACTTTTTAGTTTGTTTGCGGACTCGGGATCATCCAGTCGGTGGATGTAGTTGCGCATGCTCCCCGTGATGGCGGGGAGGAGAGCAAACGGGGGCGGGTGGTGGTCCGGCCACGGGTAATGATGGATCCGGCCATATACTTCAGAATCGGGGTATCCTGTGCCCTCCGCACGGAATTCCCAGATGCACCAGTCGCTGCCGTGCTTGGAGTCGAGGTACTTGACCAGTTCGTCAAGAGGGTTTCTGTATGCGCGTTGCGGGTAGTTGGAAGAAGGACCGGAGGTTGCGATCACTGCGGTGCGGAGAGAAGGAGTTGGCCATTAGTGCGGCGATGAGATTTCAGGGGAGTCCAGGTATAGCATACAGTTGTCCGTCACGTAGCAGAGATCCAAGCCTGCTTCGGGATGCTGCTGTCTAGGACCAGCGACAATCTGCCGTAGGATCGACGCCTGCGCCGGGAAATTATGTCATGTCAGGTCCCGTGTTGGCATGCCAGGGGTGGGGAGGAGAAGGAAGCTCAATCCAAGCTGAGACGTACCATGAGATTCTAAGGGAAATTTTAACGTGCTGCAAATGAAGTCTGGCTCAGAGATCTATCTCTGGTGATGTGAAAGAGGACATGCGCGTCTCTGGCCTGGTCATTGGCAGCGCAGATAATTAATGATGCGTGAGGTAAGGCACGCCCGGGCTTCAACCCGGTGATGATCTCCAATTTCTGGGGACCCAGGAGAGATGGAGATATTCGCGAATGATGACGGCTTCCATCCACCTAGTCCAAACAATAATGATCGCCACAGCGGAATGAACAGAGGCTGTGCAATTTTCGGTGTGGAGGAGGAGATGAGGAAGGAAGGAGAGCAACGGGTGATTGCAGATGTTGACGGCGATGATGTCACCGGATGCCTTCCCTCCATTCGCCCCTCATCAACTGGCATTCGGTCAATGCAACCAGTCAATTGCCCACCCGAGTCTAGACAATATCCATAAGAATGGGAAATACTGAGTATGAAGTACGGTAGGTAACTTGAATGCTTTTTTCATTCGGTTGGTCATAAAATTGTGTCCTGCATTAGCCACTTTTCGCCCATCATGTAACCAGACATTATTAGGTAAACAACCCCTATCCCATATCAACAATACACAACAACAAAGAAAAAGAAAAAAACAGACATGATAATCATATGATACAAAAACAGTTCGTATCCCACACCTCCGTCGAATCACCCTCCGGAGGGTAATATCATCTTCAGCAAGCACTAGGCAGGGCGGGGAGATTGGCTCATCTCCTACTTCTTTAGGCGACCCCATACTCCTCGGTAACGGGGATCGTAAACCGCGGTGTCGAGGAGGTGACATTAGTCTCTCCGAAAGCAAAGAACTCGGCATCGCCAGGGAGGATCCATTCATGTTCAGCCCGAACATTCCACAGCGGATACGGCTCGGCTTTGACGCGGGACTTGATCAAAGGGTTCTGGCAGGAGACGAGGTCGTCGGAGCTGCTATCCGTGGTCGTACCAGAGCAGGTAGTATTGAAGCCAGGCGTGTTCTTGGTTGCCACACCGAGGATGTTGAAATTGTAGACGCAGCCTCCCGGCGAGCAGCCGGTGGTGAAGTTGGAAACGTGCCAGGTCAACGCCGCGCTGTCACGGCGACTGGGATAGGAGATAGGCGAGGCAGAGGTAAGGCTCAGGGTGGAGAGAGCAAGACCGAACAAGGTGGTAAGCTGCATGATGGTGGGAGTAGAAAGTAGATCGGATGAATTAGGTTTGATCAGATCGGTTTTTAATTGAGTCCTTGCGCCTTGCGACAACGAGGTATGTATGTATGTATGCAGGTGGGGTGGGTTGATATGTTTGACAAGCAAGAGACAAGCACCAACTTCAATAGAAATTAAGTATTACCAGTAAGTGCTGAGCAAGTATGAAGATAGGCAGAGGAGGAAATGAGAAGATGGATGAAATCGTGATGAAGAAAGGGGAGGAGAAAGAAGAATGTAGCGAGCAGCAACGGCGACTTGATATAACCCCGGTTCTGCTGTAGCGACGGCAGCGTTGGCACCAGCAGGGAGGAGCAACGGAGACTGATGGAGAGACCCCTCGCCTCCGTCTGGAGCCGATGTTTTTCTTTTCTTAGAAGCTGCAAAAGCAATCCTGATGCAGCGGGAGAGCATTTCGACCCCAACAGTGGAGCGGCGAGAGTAGGTGAAACGAACCACTGGCAACAGGGACAACTCATTGGCCCGAGAGTGGCTGATCGCGCGGAATTTGAGCGAAGATCCCTTTGGTTGCCCACCTGCATCGAAGAACAGGGAGGAACGACTTGATCTATGAGGCGTTTAGTGTGTGACAAACCATGGTTACACAACTGACGGTGAGAGAAAGTTTGTGCTTAACAAGCTGGAGGAAGATTCGACCATGTTTTCGTCCCAGTGTGGATGTAAACCCTTGTGAATAAGGTACTGTGATTATAGTTATCCTGCACTGTAAGTTACATGATACAAACCACTGAGCCCTAATGTAGTTAGCCAGGAGGCACCCAGAATTATAGGATTTCGACCAACCTACCACAACGATAACTTGTTAGGATTGTTTAACTAACTATTCACTCTGTAAGTAACTACGGAGTACGGAGAGACGGCAAAGACATCAAACCATCAAACGGGTGGTCCCAGCGGGAACTCCGGGCGCATTAATCACCGGAGGTTTGACCATGCGACGCCCGCCGTCTCACATGCAAGCTTAATCCTTCGGCCTCGGGGAACTTCCCCAATCTTCCTGTTCTTTCGCTCCTCTCTTGGAACATCTCTCAGCTACTCCATATCCCGATTACCAGGCCTATTTCTATGTTTAGACAACTTGATCAATAACTTAGGGGTTGGGGTCTGGTATAAAGTGGCTCGTTTCATATAGCTGCTTGCTTGCTGCTATTCACATCTCCGATTCATCATCAGCTAATTATCTCATCCTGCGTATCGAGTGAATACTAGATACCTTATACTACAGTGTATGGTAGTTCTATATATCGAATTTCACTCTTTGGAATGGCTTGCTCATACTGGAATGTGATACCCCATAGAATTCTCAGGATTGAATCCTTTGCTTATAAGAATGATACATGTGGATTTTCGCTCATCTAGAATAGTGAATCGCTTTATCATAGAGGGTCTCCTTGAATCTGTCCTGGGGTAGTTACACAACTCAAAATTGGCCCAGACCATCTCCTTTCAACTCTCTTCTCGACAACTCTTACGCCTGACATAAGGACCACACTATCCTCCATCTCCCTTACACGTCTATACTCTCTTCGAGTAGCTGGACTGACAAGACCCTTTACTTTGAACCAATTCATAGATGACTCGTGGTTGATTAACATTTTTGAAGGCACA